AAGTGGTTGAAGGTTTTTGTTTTCTTTCTTGGTTTAAGGATAAGAGGAAGGGATAAGACAAAAAAGGGAAGAAATAGATTTTTAACTGTCAAGATGTGGTCAGGTTATTGGGATGACTTTTGAGCCTTTTCAGAGCTCTTTAAACTTAGATGAATTGGACAATTACCTCCTACTTTTTTCTTCTTTTTCTGTGTTGGCACTGAGACTCCAGTACACGTAGCAAAATGAACAATAGGAAGGGATGTTATAACCAAATATCTACACTTGTGAGTAACACAAATGTATGAACAGCGCATTATACATTCCTTCTCTTGATAAGCACACTCCGTTTTGTTTTGGAGGTTTTTAAGCTCACTAACCAGCACTTAGGAAAAGTAAAACCCTCTATGTAATGAATGGTAATGACGTTTTACAGTACTTACACTACTTTGAAAGCCTTGTACACAAGACTTGTATCAGACTAACTCCTTGGCTTTCTTCCTATAATACAAAGACATCTGAATTATATATTCTTAAACTCTTGTTTTAAAGCTAAATCCTAAATCCAAGTTAATCTGGGGGGGAAAAAACACCAAAAACTTAAGTTCCCAAAGAAAACTAGAATTACCTTTATAATATTTGTACTAGTGTATAATGTTTCATGCAGAGCTATATACTATCCACCCACAATGAGACATGTTCAAGATACCCTTCAGCCTGTACTTTAAATGTCTTGGGTTTTGTGCCATAATCCTGTTACATAAAGTTATTTCTTTATTTCTTTCCTTTCCGATACGCTATCATCAATCTGCCTGTCTCTCTTTGGAACTCCTTTAAGGTTCACAAGAGGAAATAATACTCCAGTTTGTTTCCATTGGCCCCGGCTTTCACTTCCAACGGTGAGCATAAAGGACTACTTATTCCGATACAGGCCACTGAGAGAGAATTTATCCCTCCCTCAGTAATAAAAAATACTCTATGTTCTTCCTCCCTTCTCCGGAAGTCTTTTTGCTGTCAGATGGCTCCCCCTGAATCAAACTCAAGAAATGCTCGGCTGTTTCTGCAAGTGCATAAGGACACCATCAGGCAGCTGAGTGTAGATTGTGGCTGCCTCATTCCAGGTGTCTCACGTCTGGCGCTGCTCCTGCAGTGACCAGTGTCATAAAACAGGAGGGGCCTTGGCCTGGCTTTCCTCCCAATCCTTCTCCAAGGAGCTCAATGGAAACGTGGACTGGGAATGTGAAGGCCGCTCGTTTTCAGGGAGAAGGTTTGAATGAGGAGGCGGTTTGAAGGAGAGCGATAAACATCACAGCTCGGGTTATCAAATACCACATCAGGGCTTCCTTTCCCTGGAATCACCGGTTGCCATCCGTTTTTTATTTTGTCTTACATGGAAAGCATTACCCTTCATGGGTAACACCTTTAAGCCCAAGAACTCATATGCAGGTAAAGACACAGATATGATTTTATGTTTTGTTTTTAAGTCTGGGAGAGGAGAGAATAACTAAGCTACCAGTACCGAAAAACAATTGAGCACTTGGAGGGAACACAAACCCCTGAAGTATGATTGCTCTAATATGGCAAAGATAAGACGCTGTGAATGACCTCCCGTGATTCTTTTCATGTTACACAGCATTTAAATCTCAAGTTTGATGGCTTCCAGATTCCTCTTCACGCCCAGCTTTTGGGGGGTCACACCACCAAAGTAACTGAGGCTGGCATTGCACAGGCTTTTAGTGCTTTCAAACCAACGGGTATTAATTCATATAAATGCAAAGCAGGGGCTCTCAAGGCAATGTGGCTGAAGGAGAGGATTCAGTGAAACTAGGGTTACACTAACAGAGTAATGACTGAATGGGTGGCAGTAAGGCAGCTGTAAATAGCGTGCCAGAGGAAAGCTTCGTTTCCCATCTTCTTGCACAGTCTCTAATTTCTGGCTCCTCATTTCCTCCGTGACCTGATAAGTATGAAATTCTAAATAAAGTGTCATCTTTCTTGCAACAAATCAATGAACAGAAAGCTCCCATCAACAATGCAGATGTTTCCTGAAGCTCCTGCTGATGATTTCCTGAATGTCTATCCCACAAACCACACAGCATGTTCTCTGAGAACAAGGAAGCCTCTTTACCCCATGACAAACACAGCTTCTATGTGTGTATGTGTGGGTGTGTGCATTTAAAAAGAGGACTAAGAGCCCTAGCCGGTTTGGCTCAGTGGGTAGAGCATCGGCCTGCGGACTGAAAGGTCCTCAGTTCAATTCCGGTCTAGGACATGTCCCTTGGTTGCCCACACATCCCCAGTGGGAGGTGTGCGGGAGGTGGCTGATGGATGTTTCTCCGTAATCGATGTCTCTATCCCTCTCCCTTCCTCTCTGTAAAAAAGCAATAATTTTTTTAAAAAAATGTGTCTACTGAGACTGAAGAAATAAATCTTAAATTAAAATAATAAATAAATAAAAGAGGACTAAGAAGTAATATGCAACTGATAACAATGAGTCACCACAAAAATCACCTTTTGTTACCAATTTCAGATTGAAATTTAGCCCTTTCCAAACGCTGTGGTACAAATATAGAAAAGGAGAATTCATACTCATTGCATATTTGTCCCTACAGATGAAATAAAATTGTTTTTGCATTCCCTATCACAGATTTACACCAATTGTACCTCCATATACACAATTATATTTTGGGCATCCTTCTCCCTATAATATAATTTAAAGTAATTCCACCCCAAATAGAAACAAAAAAATATATATATTTTTAAGAATATAATCCCACCTTGATCCCTCCTGCTATCCATATCCTGCAAAGGTCAACTCTGTATTATTATAAAAAGATAAAAAATTCTATGGGTTACTAACTAAGCCTTCAAGTTCACATCTAAGCCTGGGCTTATCTATATATATAAAAGCCTAAGCGACCAGACGGACCAGAATGACCAGAACAACTGGTCTCAATGACGTGCACTGACCACCAGGGGCAGACGCTCAACTCAGGAGCCGCCCCCTGGTGGTCAGTGCACTTCCACAGCCAACCTCCCCCAGCCAGCCAACCTCCCGCATTCTCTCCCCGCAGCCATCAGGCCCCGATATGGTGATCAGGGGCCAGGCCCCAGGCAGGGATGGGGAACTGGGGGTGGGTGGCAGCTGACATGGTCCCTTTCCCAGGGGGCTGAGGGCCAGACCCTCCTTGGGGCTGGTGGCCAGCCTCCAGGGCCCCGATCGGCCTGCTGCCCGCCCACTGCGGTGGCAGTGTGGCGGTGAGCGAAGGAGGAGGGAGCAGAGGAGGAGGGAACCGCGTGGCGGCAGGGTGCCAACAATGGCGGAGTCAGCATCTGGTGTCCATTCCTTCCATGCCTGGCCTGGTGACCTTCCCCTCCTCTCTGGCTGGGCCCTGACTGGCCTGACTCTGACTGGCCCTGATGGCGGCCAGGCTTAGGGACCCCACCCGTGCGCCAGGCTTCCAGTCTACTCATACAGGAACCTTACGGGAGAGTTCGTTTTAAACACTCTGTTTAAACCAAATGTTATAATATTTTCACTTTTGCCAAACGCTCCCATCTCCTGCATTCTGTTAGTTTCAATTATTCAGGGCAACCCAGGCTGATAATTACACAGTCCCCAGTCGCTGAGTAAAAGTGATGCTTAATTAGCCAGCAGGAAAGATCGATTAAGATCCAGCAGGGCATCCTGTGAGGTTCTCTCACACTCCTGGAGGGAATAGACTCTGGCTGTGCCCTTTGAAAGGATGACGCTCCCTGCTTCTCGGGAGTTTCAGTGAGGTTTCTAAAGTAGCTGCTCAGATCGGTCAGCCACACAAATTACCCCCCAATTATAACCCTGCAGATGCTCTGGCCTTCCTAAGCGTACTCAGATCAAACATTCCGAATCACATTGTCACCAGGTTGAGAAAGGCTTCAAGTCATGCTCACTTATCCCCAACTGTCTCTCAGTTACCACACGGCAAGGAAGACCTGGGTGAGAAGTATATGGTAAAGGAACATTTTTTATTTCTCCCTCCCCACACAGGTGTATGCATCTGTCAGGTGCTCACATTCTCAAAGGCACAAATTAGGTGTGAGCCTCTTATTTAAAAATCCTAATGAGCATGATAGCCCAGTCCAGGCTGAGACGGAATATGGTCAAGTAATATGTCTTATCTTGTTAATATTCCAATATGGTCAAGAATCAACTAGATAAGTCTGGGTTTACATTTTTTGTTTGTGTGTGTGGGTTTGTTGTTGTTGTTGTTGTTGTTTGTTTGTTGTTGTTGTTGTTGTTTGGGTTGTGTGTTTTTTTTTTTTTAGAAGGAGACATGGAAGAAAAATCAGGACTGAAAATCATAGTGAAAATTAATTGTATCACACTGCCTCACATATCCCCTTTAGTAACGTGGGCAAGCACAAATGTTTAGCTTGTCACACGTTTTGCAAAGGTGTTCAGTGAAGACCAATATAGTCTAAAGCTAAAAGCAGGATTGTTATCTTAAGACACATAATTATCAAACTATTTCTATTTTGGTAAGCTATACTAATTATACCTGCCTCATTCCAATTCAATTCCGTAAATGTTTATTAAGCTTCATGTGAATGGTTAACTTACCTTGCATTTAAATAAAATAAATGTACATACACGCACACACAAAAACAATATTCACTAAGCTTCTTTTTTTTTTTTTTAATATATTTTATTGGTTTTGTACAGAGAGGAAGGGAGAGAGATAGAGAGTTAGAAACATCGATGAGAGAGAGTCATCGATCAGCTGCCTCTTGCACACCCCCTACTGGGGATGTGCCCGCAACCAAGGTACATGCCCTTGACCGGAATCGAACCCAGGTCCCTTCAGTCCCCAAGCCGACGCTCTATCCATTGAGCTAAACCGGTTTTGGCAGCTTCTACCAAGTATAAAGAACTATGATGGGTATGTCTTATCTTGTTAACTTATACGCTAATAAAGTAGATGTTTCTGATTATGTACTGTTTTAAAATTATGAGGAAGAAGAATGGAACCACTTATACAAACCTGGTTTTGATTTGCTGAAAACCCCGAAGAATATGGTCTCGGTGGTCCTTTGCAACAGGACTGAGGTTCTCATTCCTCAAATCTTCTGCCAGAAACTCCTCAGCATCTAAAAGAGGAGGAAAGTGGATCAACTAAAAAGTACTAAAGGAAAAACGGGAAAATTTGCAGTTTTGACATGGATATTATTTTCTCTTTAAAAACTTTAAAGTTGCAGAACCATGTGAATGCGCTTAACGCCACGGGCCTGCACACTTAATATTGGTTAAAATGGTGACGTTTGTCACGTAGAGTTTACCAGCATAAAAAATAAATAAAACTTTATATATGCCTATAAGTGACACCTTTGGATAACACAAGGCATTGCTACAAATTTAGAAAGTTAATGCATATATTAACAACAACAACAAAACTATTTTCTAAGCTATTTTAAAGGAATATGTAAGTAGTGAATATCATTGGCAGAGGATGGACTGTCATTTCCACAAACATCTAAATATTACAAATAATTCATGGAAGGTCACAGACCAATAGGAGCCAGAAAGAAGTACCAATAAATAAAGCTGAAATGGAAAAACAGAGCGGAACTGCAAAATCAAGAACAAAAGGGCAGGCATCCAAAGAAGAAAAATTAATTAGCAGATGCATCATCAATGAAAATGACACTGCAGCCAAGAGAAGGAACCCACATGGAAAAGAAAAATGTGTTTAAGAGAAGGAAACGGCAATTAATGTGAGCATACATTATAAAACAGGAACATGGTAGAAAGATATAATATGAAACAAATCATGTTATGTTGAAAGAAATTGGGGGAGAACTATAAATTTTCAAATTATAATACATTGATAATGATTACAATTGTCAGAAACACTAGCTACACACTTTATTATACATAAAATAGTTATCAGCCCTAAAAATGTATATAAATAATATAGTTAAAATTTTCCATCTCCAAAAATAGAGCCTGTAATATATAACTGTACCATATATACTATACCATATATACTATCAAAATAATGTTAGAATTTAGACAGTTGGGTCACTGTATAATAAGCACCCTTACAAATCTATTTTACATTCATACCATTAAAAATCACCAAACAAAAAATTCCAGATAGCCATCACCAACATTTCTGATGAGGTATAAAGTTCTGAAAATTAAAATTTCCACAGAGAACCACCATCAACTTCTATATCCTGCATCACATCTGTTGTATATGTCATTTAGTAGGTTTTTTTCAAGATCCTATGAAGGCTAAAGAATAAGGAAATGAGAAGTTGAATTAAAAGGTAAAAATAAATGGTACCCAAAATTTAATTAATGTCACACACCATATTAACCAGAAAAAAATCACATGATCACCTCAACAGATAAAGAAAAAAAAATTGAACAAATTTCAATATCTCTTCATGATAAAAATCACTCAACAAACCAGGAATAGGAGAAAACGTTCTCAACTTGATAAAGAGCATCCACAAAAACCCCACAGTTAATATATAATTAACAGTAAAAAGACTGAATACTTTCTTCCTGTTCCCAAGGTCGGGAACAAGACAAGAATGTCTGCTCTCACCATTTATACTAAAAATGTTACTGGTACTAACCAGGGAAGTTATGCAAGAAAATGAAGTTTTAAAAGTCTAGATTATATAGGAAGAAGTAAAACTATCTCTACTTTTGGATTTTATGATCTTGTATCTATATAGAAAATATCTGGGTGCATGGAACAGACTGACAGATCTCAGAGGTGAGGGGAGTGGAGGAAATGGGAAGAGATTAACCAAAGAACTTATATGCATACTAGAGGCCCAGTGCACAAATTCGTGCATGGGTGGGGTCCCTCAGCCTGGTGGGGCCTGGCGGCCAGAGGGAGGAGCTACAGGAGGTTGGCCAGCCATAGGAGGTTGGCTATGGGAGCACATCGAGTGTCTGCCCCCTGGTGGTCAGTGTACATCATAGCGATTGGCCTTTTGGTTGTAACAGTTGCTTAGGCTTTTATATAGAGAGATATGCATGGCCTATGGACATAGACAATAGTGTGGTGAAGGCCAGGGACTGGGTGGAGGAGGGCAAAGGCAGGGAAAATGGGGGGGGGGGGGCATCTGTATACTGTCATTTTAGCCTGTGCCAATCCTTTTGCATACAGACAACAAATCTTAAATGTATAAGCCAGTACAGACAGAAATTTGTGCCATCCTTCTCTTAGAAATGTGAGTTCTGCTTTAGTAGTTCAAATACTTTCACAAAATATCCCCCCTAGGAATACTTTGATTGGTGTTTGGTTGATGGATTTGTTTTCAGCAGCACTGACCATTCATCCTGCCTCCACACAGAAGGTTGATTAAAGCAAACTTTTGAGCTGTAGAAACATATATCAACAAAAAGACATTTGCAACTATTAGGGAACACCAACAACTTTTTTCCTTTCAGTGTATTAGGAGCATTGCTTAGAAAACAAATGGAGGCAAACTTGAAAAATGTGACCCATAAGACATCATTCTCCAAATAAACAAAATAGCCTTGCAAATGGTCAGGGTCAGAGATCTGGGAGTACGTCAGAGGTTTTCACCAGTCTGCAAAGCCTAGTGATCTTGGGCGCGTCCTGCTAAGTCAGAATCTTCTCAGCCAGCCTCCGGTCCTGCAGTGCCATCTCCTAGGGATGTGAAGATCAGATCATGCCAGTGTTCCATCCACATATTCTCTGCTCCCTTAGCCTCCTGTCTTCCTTTCCTATTGATTATTCTGCAATTATTTGCTGGAATAAATAAGCTGCCTGGGAGCTGAGGAATCTATGTTTTAGGACAGCTGTGAATTATAACAGGAAGATGCAGCTTTGCCAGAGCTGTGCTTACCTTTTAAACATGGGACTTAACATCACTGTTTATTACTTTTAGTACAAAACACTGTATATTGTTACAAGGCAGCCTTCCAGAATAGTCTTTTGCCACTGTCCCTCTTGCCCCTAACTTGTATGTTCTGCCTTCCAAGTTGAAATTCTTTCAGGCTCTCTGAGATCTGTCACCTCAAGACCTTTGTACATATGTTCCCTTGCTTGTGCAACTTTTTTTTTTTTAATCCTCACCTGAGGATACATTGATTTTTTTTTTTTTCTGAAAGAGAAAGTGGAAAGGAGGGAGGAGGGAGAGGGGGAAAGAGCGGGAAGGGGGAGAGAGAGAGAGGAACATTGATGTGAGAGGGAACACTGATGGGTTGCCCTCCACACGTCCCCCGACCAGGGACTGAAACCACAACCCAGGTACATGCCCTGACCAAGAATTGAACCTGTAACCTTTTGGTATACAGGATGATGCTCCAACCAACTGGGCCATCATCTTTTAATATATATATTTTATTGATTTTTTTACAGAGAGGAAAGGGAGAGGATAGAGTTATAAACATTGATGAGAGAGAAACATCAATCAGCTGCCTCCTGCACACCCCCCACTGGGGACGTGCCCACAACCAATATACATGCCCTTGACCGGAATCGAACCTGGGACCTTTCAGTCCGCAGGCCGACGCTCTATCCACTGAGCCAAACCGGTTTCGGCAGCACCATCTTTTAAACTGAAGGGCAAATGTATTATGTATTGGTCTGTAAATTTCCTTCCCTTAATAAATATAAAGTTCCAATATCAGGTTACATTGGCTTCATAAAATAAATTGGAAAGTGTCAGCTCTGTTCTATTTTCTGTGATAGTTTGTGTAAGAATTGTATTACTTCTACCTTAAATGTTTAATACAATTTACTTGTGAAATCTTTGGGGCCTGACTTTTCTTTCTAGAAAGGTTTTTTTAAACTATAATATTCTATAGACATAGGAGTATTTGGATTTTGTATTTTATTTTGTGTATATTTTGGTGAGTTGTGCTTTTCAAGGGATTTATTGGTTTAATCTAAGTTATTAAATTTATTGGCAAAAAGATGTTGATACTACTCCCTTATTCTTTTAACTTCTGTGAGATTTTTAATAATATCTCGTCTTCATTCCTGATATTGGTAATTTGTGTTTTCTATTTTTTCCTTTCATGAATCTTGATAAATCTGTTAGGGGCTTATCAAATTTATTGGTCTTCTAAAAGAACCAACCAGTGTTTTTTCTGCTTTCTATTTAATTGATTTTTGCTCTTATCTGTATTATTTTTTTTCGACTTGGGATTTAATTTGATTTTCTTTTTCTCAGTTTTCTTAAGGTGAAAACTTAGGTCACTGATTTTAAACCTATTTCTCTGATCATTTAAAACTACACATTTCCCTTAAGCAAGGAAATCTACAAATCCTACAAATTTGGGTATGCTTTATAATCATTCCATTTGAAATATTCAATTTGTTCAAAAAAGAATATTTCTTCTTTGATTTATGTTATTTCAAATTGTAGGTATCTTCTTATTATTGATTTCTAACAATTCTTTCATGGTCAGGGAACATACTCTGAGAGGTTTTAGATTTTTGGCATTTATTAAGACTTATTTTATGGCCTAGAATAAGATATATCTTGGTGAACATTCCTTGTATTCTATAGTTGGTGGACATATCATTCCATGGATCTGAATTAGGTCAAAGTAGTTGATAGTGTTGTTCAGGTCCTCTCTCTTCTTAATAATTATTTGTCTAGTTGTTTTATTAACTTCTGATGGAGGAAGGTAACATCTCCCACTATAATTGTGGATACATCTTTGTTATCACTTTAGTTCTGTTGGATTTTGTTTCAACTACTTTGAAGCTCTGTTATTATGTGCACACACATTTATGATTGCTCTATCTTCCTTATGACTTGGCCCTTTTATCATTATGAAATATCCCTTTTTATGCAGTTGATGATGATGGATCAACCTATGATTTTATGCATTTGGGATTCTCAAAATAGATCACTTTTCATCACCAGTCACAATTCGATGCAAAAAATACTTTCTTTTGTGCCACCGAAGCAACATTTTACTGATGACTTTTCGGTTTTTCGTTTGTCTTTCGTTCAGTTGAATTGGTGCCCATTTTCCTTCCTTTAAAATCTTTCCCATTGCTTGTAAATGATCAGAAATTATTTGCTGAGTGATGTTTAATCTATCTGCAAGTTTGAGTTTGACAAGCATCTTCATCCTATAATGC